CGTAGTATATATATATATATATATATATATATATATATACATATATATATATATAATATATATATATATATATATATATATATATATATATATATATATACATATATACATATATATACACACACACACACACACACACACACATATATATATATATATATACATATATATATATATACATATGCATGTACACACACACATATATATATATATATATAAGAATATATATATATATATAAGAATACATACATGCAAATACAACTACCCACCCACCCACCCACTCATATATATATATAAATATATACATATATATATATATATATAAATATATACATATATATATATTTATATATTATAAGCAATATTCCATACATCACGACTATGCTTGTTCACATAAGCAATAGTGTATATATGATTTCGTCCTTGTAGGCGTACATTAAAAGGATATCAAGAAATCACATCACGCACGCAACGATAAAATATCAGACATAAGTATGGCCTGTCTTAAAAGAATCCTTACCATTCAATATCCCCGAATTCCTTTAGGTTGTTGTTAGATAGTACCAGCTCTTCTAATCCCACCATCTTTGAAGGCGTGAGTGTGGCAATTATGGATATACGATTATTGTTCAAAAACAAGCATTTAAGCCTCTTGAGAACGGGAAATCCGTCCAAGCGTGTAATATCATTATCGGAGAGGTCGATAGTGTCAAATTGATCAAGTGTTGCACCCAAGTTCTCTATGATAGGTATCTTCTGGTTTCGTAAGTCGATTTCGCGCTCTCTTAACGGGTTGAGAAATTGAGGCGCCTCTTGCACCATCTCATTAGAAATTCGTACCATGGTAGACTTTTACTCAAGCGAGTAAGTGCGGTATCTCTATCAAATCTTTGTATGTAGAGTTGCTTAAAACTTTGGAAGGATTGTACAATAGCTGGCCAGCCGAAATCTTCGAAACACTTGTATATGCACTCAGCCACAGTGTGTGTTGATTTGTTTTTCAGAGGATATAGAACGTTATATCGTGAGGTTTATCAAATGCAAGTATACATACAAGTACGAAGAAATTATCCGTCGTACAAAGGGCACACTGCACAGTATATTTTTTTATCTTGTTGAACTGTACTCGCCGGTAAATGGAAAAGTGGAATGCGGTTTCAGGTACCGAACATATCAGGCTACAAAACGGGGGTTTTTTTGCAGATAAATACTACTGCTGAGCGCTGACTGCAGCTGATGCAGCTCTGCAGCAGGTTTCTGTCGTAGCTTTACTGTACAGTACGTGCCTCCTGCGAGTCACGGCCCTCTGGATTTTAGGTCCTGCTAAATTCTCGATTTCCGGTACATATATGTTTTTTTTTGTTTTTTGAAAGAAAAACTGTTCATAATTATATAAAAAAGTCGTCACTACACATTAAAATAAAACACTTATAAATATATATAAAAAGTACAACAGTAGGCTGTTTATCAGTATGAAAATAGATACATAAACAAAGAGTGTAAAAATTTACATACAGGCAAGCAGCGTACAGTCATACAGACATAAACTCGTACACTTACCGGTCAAGTAGAAACATCCACTCCACGAACATGGCGTAGTCTCGTTCTCCAATTTGCACAATCTATTAAAAGCGACAAAAAGTACTTTCGAGAGTTCTTAGTTCTTGTTTATTTTGTTTCTTCTCCCAGCAAGATTCAACTCTATTCTTACCACGAAAGTGATTTTGAGCGGGCGTAGCTGCATATGCTGTTCCTTGTGAGCCTATGAGACAAAAACTAAATATCATTCTAACCGACACGTAGACTAGCCGGTTCACTTGTACTGCAAGGATGACTGTTTTGTCATGACAAAAGCACGAAAGCTACACACACACGGTGTGCCCTGTGGTCCTTCTATGCTATATATTATGAATAAGAAAAATGGGAGAGGGAAGAATGAATTTCAATTGCAGTTGGTTGATTCTTATAATGGTCTAATATGAAATTGCGTTGCAAAATATGTAGCTTGTACTCGTTGGAAAACATCAGAGAGCGTTTCTGTTGATTGTTGACGTATTCACACATCGAAGGTCGCCTGCAGTTGCTGGAATGAATAGATCGCACTCAAAGATTGAGGTGGGTTACTCTCGTATATATTTATAAGCTACATCATACAAGCAACTTCAGCTTTCCGGATATGTATGTAGCTTTTTTTCCAACAAGAAGCAATCTGATGACAGCGAGGGATGAATACTGAATTCATGATAAATTTTTTCAAATACACCCAGACCCAGTCCTCCAAAATGAACAAAAATCGTATAGTACTGGATCCTGTATTTTAGTAAGTAAATATTTAAATATGATCCTGTACTGTTTGAAATGCTTATCGTTTGTTTTGCCTGTAAAATTAAAATATCATGATTGGCATCGCATCCCAAATATTATAAAAATCAAAAAGGATAATCAGCAGTTGGTACCCAAATTGTATAAAAAAGTTCAAAAAATCACAAAAACAATTGACCTAAAAATTCACAATTTTTGGGAGTAAAAGTACCAATCTTCAAATACATTGCTCCTGCCATTTGATTCAGAAAAACCTCAGCATTCAATTTTGGTATTCAAATCCTAAATCCGTTCAGTATTTTGAAAGTTGTTTGGGTCGGAAGTTGGTATGCACAGTAAATATCCTGAATTTTAGAATCAGATTTGTCCAGATATATATATTTTTATATGTAAAAAAAAACAAAATTATAAAGTGTACTGGGTACCCCCCCCCCCCTTCGATTTTTTTTTGATCTGTCGGCTATCGCTCACGAACTCATAAAATATTTCGTAGAACCTTCATATTTATATACAAGCTGTACGCTAACACTGCTGTAGTTTGTTGACCTACAAGTGCCTTGTGTCCTCAGATATAACGCAGGCACTCAGCTGCAAAAACACTGCTATATATAATCAGTAAAGGGACGAGAATTATCTATGTGGGCTACTTTTATTCCATGTTCCTGAAGCCGTATTCATATACATATCGGCATGCCTCGTTGGTGGTGGCCATTCGGTGGTAGCAATAGTGCCGATGAAGAGCAAGGAAACTCGACAGGAGATGCTTCTTCATTTCAAGTACTCTCCAACAATGATGACAGCGATGGTGTGTATATGATTAAAGTCACAGCGGTGGTATATTGTTCGATTTGAATATGGCTATGAACGAGTGAGTCTACGCACATTATATGACTGGTGCGTGATATTGCATATGTATGCAATTGATCAGATTTGATTATGTCTCTAGACATATATCTATTAGAGTAGAGGGCTAGAGGCATCGTTTTAATCTATTCTTTATGCTGAAGTCTGTCGCTTATATTAAGTCTGTCATTATGTCGCCAAATGATTGGCATATTATGTTTGGCCTCGGTTGCGTACCTTTCACCAAACCGTATTACGAGTGAAAATCTAAATACACTATATATTAATATATGTTGATAATCGTACCTTTGGAAAGGCTTGGGATAGAATTCTTTAATTGCCCCTTTATGCTTGGTAAAATATAGAGATGTGTACGATTCTTTTCATATTATTCACTGTATTTATGTCAAGTATATAGGTGAGTCAGTGCACTCAACATAATTTTGGTTATCCATGCACATAGAAGCCAGAGTAGAAAAACTATTCGCAAACAATCAGCGCGACATATAACGTGTGTATACTGATTTTGTATTCTAATAAGTTATATGTGTACCATACACAAAACCCATATAGAGTACAAAATATTCAATATTATTTATTCAGAAACGAACGCATAAAAAGTACATGCACGAACACACAAAAGGTAGATGCACAAGCACACAAAATGGACATACACGAACACACAAACACATTTGCAAACTCATTTATCCATACACGCACACGGTCACCCACGTATACAAACAAGTATACTCTCACACACACTCAAATACACACACATACATACACACACACACAAACATATATATATATATACACACACACATATATATATATATATATGTACATACACACGCACACACACACGCACACACACACACACACATATATATATACATACATATATATATATATTTAGATATATATATACATACATATGTATATATATATGTACACACAAACACACACACACATATATATATATATATAAAGTGTATGTGTGTGTATGTATGTAACTATGTATATTTGTATCTATGAATGTATTTTTGTATGTATACAGGAATGTATCAATGTATGTATATATGTACTTACATATATGCATTATATATATATATATATATATGTGTGTGTGTGTGTGTATGTATGTATGTATGTATGTATGTATATATATTATTACGAAAAATGTATCAGTGTGCTAATTTAACAATATAGTAACAAGACAAAATATCATTACACT